AATCAATTATAAAGTAAAAAGTAGAGAGAATTATTACTGGGAATTCAATTATTATTTGATTTATTAAAAAAAATGAAAGTAAGCACTAGTTATAAAGTAAAAAAGTAGAGAGAATGTGTATTAATTTAAATATAAATTTAAAAATTATTTTGTAAAAATTCATAAAAAATATTAATTAAAAGAAAACAAATTAAAAAAGAAAAGGATTAGATGTTGTTGGCCAGCCTGGCAAGTGCTCCTAGCCAATTTGGAGGGGGGGTCCTTTGTTTCCTTAATCAGTAATGGGGTGCATAACATGTTGTCGACCACGATTTTTTTTCTTTTTCTTTTTGAAAAGGTTGTTGGCAAAAAATGTGTCCCTCGTTTTTTTTAGATTCTAACATGATTTGAAAATTATAATTTATAATTTTTTAATTAATTTTTTTTTCAACCCATTTAATTTTACTGGAAATATCTTAAGGTAAAATATGAATGTCTATATGATTATTACTGGGAATTCAATTATAAAGTAAAAAGTAGAGAGAATTATTACTGGGAATTCAATTATTATTTGATTTATTAAAAAAAATGAAAGTAAGCACTAGTTATAAAGTAAGAAGTAGAGAGAATGTGTATTAATTTAAATATGAATTTAAAAATTATTTTGTAAAAATTCATAAAAAATATTAATTAAAACAAAAAAATTAAAAAAGAAAAGGATTAGATGTTGTTGGCCAGCCTGGCAAGTGCTCCTAGCCAATTTGGAGGGGGGGTCCTTTGTTTCCTTAATCAGTAATGGGGTGCATAACATGTTGTCGACCACGATTTTTTTTCTTTTTCTTTTTGAAAAGGTTGTTGGCAAAAAATGTGTCCCTCGTTTTTTTTAGATTCTAACATGGAAATTAAAATTTATAATTTTTTAATTAATTTTTTTTCAACCCATTTAATTTTACTCGAAATACCTATAAAATACTTTAAAAATCTTGATAAACAAGCGTGGCGTCACATTCCCTTTATATTTTAAAAACTCTACACACTAGTATTTATATAGTTAATTTCACTTTACATATTCAGTGGTGAACTTATTCAATAAAAGAATTCGAAATATTACAAGCTTATCATATATATAATATATACGTATGTGTATTTTATTAAAATCAATAATAGAAAAAATAATAAATTTAATTAAGATCTTATTCATTTTCTTCTTCTCCACCATATACCAAATCATTTCTACAATGTAAATTAATTTTAAATGGCATGGTTCTATAAAACAGAAAAACCTCTAATGAGCAATTACCGAGACCCAACAACTCACATATTTAGATGAATAATATACCATTGATTTAGTTTTGCTTTTGAAAGTTATTAATTTGAGTTTTATAAATTTTAATTATTAAAAATTTATATAATTATTAATTTTAATATTTGTGAAATTAATTGAGATGTTTTTAAAAGTTATTAGTTTGAATTTTAAAAATATTAAAAATTTATATAGTTATTAATTTTAATATTTATAAAATTAATTAAGATAAGTGAATAGCCGAACACTCGTTCTGTTAAATTAAAGAAAAATAAAATGGAGACAAGAAACCACGAGGTGAGGTGGATCATGCCAGTATGACCACACAAAAACCAAAACACTCGTTCTGTTAAATTAAAGAAAAAAAGAAAAAAGAAAATGGAGACAAGAAACCACGAGATGAGGTGGATCATACCATGACCACACAAAAACCAACCCTCACCCCTCTATCCAATGTCGATCTCCCCCTTTGCCTCACACCAACACCACCTCATAGCACCAGCCACCACAGCCACCTCCTTTGTCATAAACCTAGCAACACCCATAGAGCAAACCCTCACGCATCTCTCCTTCTGTTTTCTGTTGATCTCTCATTTTCCTCACACTAGCGCCACCCATAAAGCCATTGACTGCTGAAAAGATTAGCCCGTCGCTTCCTATTCCAGAAGGCAATAACTGACCCACAACAGTGTTTTAATAGAAAAAAGTTGGAGAGCAGAAAGCATTTGTATTCATTGAATGTGTCGTTTGTTTATAAATGTAGTTTACATAGTCAACTCTTGAACTATTAGTTAGAATATAAAGAATAAGTGACCACTGTTTTCTAATTAATTTTTGTTAGTATTAAATTGATGATTATAAAAAAATAATACTTTTTCATGTTACTGTAAAATTTAAGGGCTACCTTTATACAAAAAATAAAAAATTATTTTAGATGAGTTACAACAAAACGTCCTATCATTTCAAAGTGAAGTAGAATAAAGTTTTAAGTGTTACTAGATTACATCATGCTATAGATTGCACAATCCTTGAGAGGCCCTACTGCATATATAAAGACCTGCAGCACTGAGGCCTCTGCGAATGGCTGTGAATCGATCACTTGTGCTAGGTCAACTTTACACATGCTATAGTTTCGTCTCCGGCCAGTTAATTAGTGCATTTCTGTCATATCCCACCTAAAAAAACCTTTGCGGCTTGAGATGATATCCTAAGATTTCATCCCTGATTCAATTAATCCGAATCCATGAATGATTATCAGATTATAATCTTTTCTCTTGTTGGACAAACCAGAAACCCAGATTATGGATTTTTCTTCTTTAGTCAAATCAGATCAGGGATGGACCAGAAAAATTGCAGGCGACGTATGTGCAATGTTACTTTTACTTGTTAGGTGGGGGCAAAGCCTACTGCCTGCCCGAAGGTTGCACAAGGGGACATGTATCTTGGCATATATCTAAGAACCAAGTTCCGTAATTCATGTGATTTGTGTCCATATATAAGCACAGGAAGTTCAATCCAGGGGCCTCGTCCTTTTCTTTTGCGTCCGTCTAAAAGTGGATGAGGATTGGAAACTGTGCATGCGCATGTGAGACCGTAACAAGACATGAAGACAGTACATAGTTTTCGTGAGCATGGCTTATCTAGGAAGGTTCAATTCAAAGGCATGCACCATCATCTGTGTAGACACCATGTGATGTGAATCGCGTAGGTTTTCCTAGCAGTACCACCACCAATAATTCTGCTGTATCATTTAGCTTCAGAAACCAAATTGACGTTGTATATGCACACAGCGAGCATCTCCGAATAACACTTTTTTACTTCCAATTGAAGCGCAGCAAAACCAGCTAAACATATATTTTCCTTTGATTATCTACATCTTCTTTCTCTAGTGAATGGATCTCTATATATTATGCATTATCATGCATATGGTCTCAGTTGATTAGCAGTCAATAAAATTAATCCGCTAATTAATGGACATGTATCCTTTAATAGTTGAAAACTAAACAGGAGGCTTATGCTACGTTGGAGGCATAAAAAATTAATACTACGGTGTCGCAAGAGTTCTTAAAAAAGCAAAGAAAATCCAAGACTTGAATCATTAACTAGATTAAGATTAATATGCTCAATTAATTTATTAACATAAATAAAATAAACACAATAATAATGAATAAAACTACAAACAAAATTGAAAGTGATGAACTCAAAAAATAAATGTTTTCCAATATCATGGAAATATATCATCTAAATATTGTTAAAAGATCCCCATGATCTTATTTGATAATTAAATGAAAATATAAAATAAAATTAAAAAATAAAATTAAAAAAATAAAAAAAATTCAATCCAAACCCGCAAGATTAACATGTTAAATTTACAATCTAAAACACGACAAAACCAAAATACCAAACAGAAATGTACTACACCTCAAGCACCAAAGCTCACTTAGAGGTTATTATTTGTTTACGCGGTGGAGATTGCATTTAAAGCAAAACACAGGAGCCAAATGTTTGATAAAAAAAAAAACCACTAATTATTGTTCATGAACCCCATTATTTTTTTGCGTTTGCAATGCAGGATTAGAAGAAGCAGCCAAAGGCTGCTTTCACATGCGTCCCACTTGTTTATGTAAATAATTAAGTTTTCATTCTTTGTGGGCTCTACATGGTAAAAAATTAAAACTAACTGAAAATACATTGGGTACCACACCGGATAAAATAATTTATGCCAACACCAAGCCATCACTAGCTTTCTTCTTATAAATGATGATTATAGTCATGTTTGGATTATGGTTAAATTATAATTATTTTGCTATTTTTATAAATAAAAATTAAATTAAATTTTTATATATTAATATCAAAAATAAATTTTATAAAATAAAAAAATATTATTTAAATATATCTTAAAACATAATTACCTACATATAAGACTAGTAAAATAAAATAAAATATCTTTTTTTTAATTATTTTTTATTTAAAAAATTAATATTTAACATTAATTAATAATTATAATACTTGTCAAATATATTTCATACATAAATAAATTATAGATAATTTAATAGAATAATAAAAAAATATTTTATAAAAAATATTATTTATTTCATTATATAATAGCAATAGTTAAATCTATAATATTTAAATTAAAAATTATTAATATTAATATATATTTTTTAAAATTATTTTATAATCTCAATTTTAAAAAGATTCTTAGCCAAACATATTAAATTATTTTTTGTTTAATTTCAATTTCAACTACCATTCTAATAAAATATTTATTTTTTCAAATTAATCTTAATTAAAAATATTTTTATAAAATAATTTTTAGTAATTCCAAACAGACCGTTAGCTACCTCATCAACCTCATCAGTAATGGATGATGGCTCACCACATATATAACACAAAGGAAGGCTCGGAGATGTCCGCCAGATGCTCGGATTAAATCCCACCGTCATGGGGTTCTCAGGATCGAGCGAAAGATCACTATGCGGATCACTGAACAAAAAGGCGCTGTTGAAGGAATAACAATGCTGCTGGTTACACGCATTAAATTTTATTTTATTCACAAGGTAGAATTTACAGTCTTGCACAGGGAAAAGCAGCATCTACAATACTTTCAGAGTCTCACATAAATGCCTTTCAAATGTAGGAAACCAGCCACAAGGCCCCAGAATAAAATCTCCATAATTACAAAAACAAGGGTGCCCCACTTCTTTGAATGGAGCATGACTTGGAACAGCGATTCTGTATCATCAACCTGCAAGTCATATTTAGTTGAAAGTCAGTCTATAAACTGTATTAAGCATCGAATCATTGAGGCCATAGACTATTGGTTCAGCAAGCCATAGACCTTTATAAAAGTAACTTTGGTATGTTCTGATTTCCTTCAAGGACATACAAAGTCATATATCTACTTATATCCAGATAGTGAACGTGTATTAGCCATTAGATTGAAGAAAATTAATGGTTGAAAAATTGTGATAATAACAGTTTTAAACATGTAAGCTGGTCCATCCTCTATCTGTGTATGTGCGTGAGTGCGCCTCTGCATGCGGGTTCACCTGCCGAGTTAGCACAGAAACTTGCACCAAGAAATAGAAAGCGAGCTATTACACGAACAAATATTTATTTTGGGGAGGGATTCGGTGAAGGAAGAACACAGAACAGGGCTGGCAGCCAAATAGAAAACAAAATCTTACCAAATTGTTTTCTGGTGAGCCCCAATAGAAACCTTGAATGGCTGCTGGGAAAAGGTCACAGGCAGCCAGCGCATAAATGATGAGTGCATTCATTCCCATCCACTGAAGTATCATCGTGGGCTTTCTAAAATGCTTGACATCAACCTGCATAAAATTGTTTGAACTGAAACAATTCTTTCACGCCAATCTCCTTTTAGTTTTCAATAACCTCTCAATTGCATACAACACACATCCCCCGAGCAGGGTCAAAATAGGAAAAGAAAAGGAAGGGGATAACAAAACAATAGGACTGAGAGTTGTATAGTTCCAACATCTCCATGGCATGAAAAGCACGCCGTGTCATAAGAAAAGATTAAAACTCTGATATTGTCAACCACCCAAAAATGATCCAAGATTTAGCCAATCCCCTATAGCTGGCATGGAAATTCGCTACATCCTCAAAAGGCTATTTCTTCCCCGATCTTAAAAGCCAAGATAATTCCAAAGCTCCACATGAGAATCAAATTTACCATGTTCCATGAATTTGAGGACAGGAAGATGCTTAGAAATTATAACAAGAAAAATCAAGCTCTCTTGACCTGCTTATGTTCCCTGTTGGTGGTGAGTTGATAAAAAGCCATGTCAATGTATCCAAAAGAGTATTAAGAACACAGATAAAACTACACTAAAACTGAGTCAAAGCTTTCAGTCCATAGACGTGACATGTCAAGAAGAAACGGCCTGTTTCTACTATCATAATTTCCTTGACTTTAACCCAATTAAATTATATGAATAGCTCAGGCTACATGATTTGAGTCAATAATATCATGAGTTTTGCTGAACGTCCTGAAAACTACCCAATGCAACAATAAAAGTCTTTTATTCATTATTTATCTTTATTTTTATTAGGTAGTACTCAAATGATAAACTTACTATGTAAAAGATGATCGTTAAAGCCAAGCCTGATGCTCCAGCTGTAATGCACATATAGCTCAACGTATATAATGGTTTACAAAGAGGAACGCCTGAAATATTCACAAACATTATTTAGTGGAAACAGAGAGGATCCTGGAAGAAATCATTAATGTTTAAAACAGTTAAAATAGGAAATCTACCCAGAAGTTCAAAAACATATCCAGTAATTAGTATGATGAAAGAACACACAGACCACAAACACAGCCTTTGCATGTGGCCCTGCAGCAAAGAAGCAAGATAAATACAGATTGGTGTAAAAGACACATAGTAAGGAACAAAAAGTAAACATCCATAAAAGCACTACAATGTGTCATACCTTGAAATGAACAAGGATATGACCAAACTGCAATCCAAGAAAACATGTAATAGCAGCCATCAAAGAACTGAAAAGGGTTGTAAACAAAAGAAATCAACACTATTCATTGTGGTTTCCTATGGTTAAAAAGGTTGTTAAACAAAATAAATCGATATTATTAAAAAGTTGGCAAAAAAAAAGTCAATGATTTGCTGACATGTTAACAGATTTATCACCATTCTTTTGTACAGTGAAGCATTTGAAGGGGATACTTGGCTTTTATGAGTGTTAATATAATGGAGCAATAATCTGTGGTAATTTGTGAAAATGAGCAAGAGAAAGTGCTGCAGTTATCTGACCTCAAGATGCCCTCTGGGTCAAATGGAGCAAGGCACCACCCAGGTGAATTTGGTGGCAGAGGTCCGTAGTCAGGAGAATTAACACTACAATGCTGTGAAACAATTAATGTCAAGATCCTTTCGGCCAAATGATTATGTGGAGAGTTGAAGCCCTGATGAAGGAAAGAAACCAATTTTACTTGTTAGGGAGCAACATCACCTTTGTTCTTCTATACACAGGATGTTGATATAGATGATGTTCACCAAAAAAAAATCGGTCAATCAGACCAACTGCATTACAAGGAGGTTCAAGACTGCCCTTCACTCCACAATTCACCTATGAAACATGATATGGTGGTTTGAATCAGTTCCATAAACGAGGGAGAATAATAGAATTAAAGCTTGACATTAGCAAGAATTCCATTAGAAAAAAATGGTAATAGCATGAAAGGGAAATAATTATTTCACAGCATGTTACATCACATTGATAAAACCATAAATACCTTCCGATGAAAGAAAATCAGGTTTTAACTTGCATCCTTTGAAAATAGAGTTCAGTTCAATAGTCACCTGGTTATTAAACTTAACCATAAAGAAAGGGTAGTCAACTGAACACACCAGCTTAGCTGTCATGTCTAGTTTGATGGTTCTTCCTGGTAACTTTCTTTATTGATTGCAGTTCAATATATTAAAAAGTTGTGACAGTGTTCAATAGATTCATGGGACTTGGTTACATTTGGAGTAAAAAGCTGAAAGTAAAGAAGAGATGAAAGACCATCACACTGATGAGCAGAAATCAAACAAGACATCCATTATATATTTCAAGAAAATGGGTTCACAGCTATTTGATTGTTGTCTGGATTCCCGTGGCAAGAGGATTTTAAATGATATGTCAAAAAAAAAATGCAAACAGCGATGGAGAAAAAGGACATTGTTGGAGAAGAAAGTGGTTGACAAATCAACAGAAATTAAACTTCCAGTGAAAAATGGCCCAGTAACAAAGTTTACCGAACAAAGCCTAATCCCAGAAACAATAAAAACTAATCATTATGCGACAGATTGAAAAAAGAAAAATATCACGTCATCTTCTTTGCTGATATAACCAAACTTTTACTGGATAGTGCCATGTTACATGGTACATGAACTGGTAAAACAACTCAACTCACAATTTTAGTACCGAATTCATATCCAAACAGATTTGTACTTGGAACTTCGAATTCCCAGTCTGGAACATAAAGGCCATACAGCAAGCACATGTAAAATGTGCAAAATAAGAAAGCAACCATCCTGCAAAACAAAACAAAAATTGAACACTCGCAGAAAATTAGAACCGATGTACCAATGACCTTTATCATCAAAATCATTAAAGTAACAATCTTTTTAACTAAATTTACTTTCACACTGATATGTATAAAACTATCTTATCTAGCATTCAGATTACAGTTGGACAATAACCTAAACCTTGAATTTAGGTATAATGATGCAAAAATGGAATTAAAATTCTTATAAAATCATGTTATTCTTGAAAACAACAGCATGATTATAGTATAAAAAATCACAGAAGAAAATGCTCCTCTGATCCAGAAAGATCATGCCAGCATGGTATTGATATAAAAAGGGAGAAAATTGGCAGTTTGATGCAGACAGAAAGACTTGTAAAAGGAATATTGAACTTTTGGTCTAAATTTGACTTAAGCCCTATTAGGACTTCATATTTCCTCAACTGCTGGTTCAGAGTATTCAGAACAATTAAATAAAAGTTAAGACACTTAGTAATTTCAGATTCACCAGAAATAGGCAGTCTCAAGCACGCAAACTTATCCAACGTCTACTGGTGCTAATGAGTGCTTGAACATATTGTTGTTTAACTGAACAAACCAAGAAAAAGAGGCCACGTGACTTGAACCAGAGGCATCAAGTCCCATTGCTTCTCATCTCTACTAAGATCTAAGCTATTTTAAAAGGGAGTAATATCTTATTCACTGATCTCTACAATCTCTCTACCATAACCAGCTTGTGGCAGTAAGATGTCTATCTGCATTCATTTTTTTCTGTCTAGGAAGAGATGGGTAATCTATAAGCTTTATTTCAGATAAAGGGATGGTGATATAAGGAATTGCAGCACTATTATTTCTCTATCACTCAAACCGTTGCAAGATTCCTGTGCCTGTCACAGACCTCCATCTTCTCAATCCCAGTGCACAATTACTAAATGTGTTCCGCCATATAAAATACTAAAATATTTATAATTTTTTCCCAATCAAGCTTGCCCCTATTGTGTCAAAAGTCTTCTTGCACGAGAACAGCACGAGTAAAGAAAATGGTATAGATCCTAGAAAGGGGAACCAACCATTGGATGTAGCATTTCTTCACAAAAGCCATAGGTGAGTCGACCATGATACTGTCCACAAGCCAGATCTCTGACATTGCAGCAAAGAGATATCCAATGGATATCCTCTACAGTTAACAAAAGGATGTCAAAGTTTAGTGACTGTATTGGAATATGAAGTCTACAACAGTATACCAGTTATGAATCTGTCAATAATTACAAAAAGAAATTTTATTGAGGTAAAACAAGTGAGCCTTACAGGCTTCACAATCATATGATGAAATTCTTAGAAGTTACATAATGCATGTCAAAGAACCATTTTAACTCAATAGCTTAAGTTATTGGGTTGAATTGGTTTTTTGACATGGTATCAGAGTTTTGATGACCAAGCGATCACGAGTTCAAATCTCACCATCCCCATTTATTTAATAAAAAATTATACACAATGCAATGTGGATCTGTGCAAATTTCAAGTTCCAAATACTTTCAATTGAGGGCATATGTTAGAGAATAATATAAATCATATCTTGAAATCTCACCTAATAGCTTAAACTATTGGGTTAAATTAGTTTTTTGACAATGCAGAATCAGCTATAACTGCCTATGATGGATGAAGTTTTATAAAATCAAAGTTCTCCTATTCATGCATGTTGAGCCACTAATTCACAAACTCAGAAATCAGTAAGGTTTTCAATAATCTTCTATAATCAATCCATTAATTTCCAATTCCAATAGCCAATTCCACTGCAAATTTTGTGGATCTGAACATCTAACATGCCATATATGAATGGTGCTTGCATGCATGGTGGTATACAAGCATGTGCTGGCATGGCTATTCTAGGTAAACTGTGGCATAATGCCATCACGTCGGTAGGGTCCAACGGAAGAATGTATTGGTAGATGCCATGCAATAGAAGTTTGATTAAAACAAAAGTATTGCCTGATATCAATGCTTATTCAGGAAAACTACCTGTAGCACGCCCATCCAACGTATCTTGCTCACATCAACCCCGTATGTTAAATCGTGGCGTCCATGGAAATACCCACCTTTGCAAATTTCCAAGAAGATATACAGTATCAGTTCCTATTATATCGAAACTACGAACTGGTTATCCACAATGCACGTGAAATATTGAAATGCCTATCAAATAGCAAAATGAAAATGCTAATTTCAGGAATTTAAGAAACGGGCATGGTAACATACCTTGCAACAATAATCCCAGAAGAAATAGTTTGATAGTCCTCAGTATGACTTTTTTTGTGGCCATTGGTTTGCTAGATACTTTCTGCTTGGTGACACAAATTACTCGCGAATCAAAGATATAAAATAACTTATTTCTTAAAAAAAATTGTTATGAAGTGTACAGAACTACAACAAAGGAATGAAAGAGCAGAAAAGATGCAAGGCAACAGTTGAAGAGACTTTTTGTTACCTTAAAAACTAAACTGATAGAGACACCAACAACAAAGAGGAAAAAAGGCATCACAAAATCGGCAAGCGTCACACCAAACCACGGAGAGTGATTAATACAAGGAAAAGCTCCACCAGCATCATCAACTAAAATCATGAGCTGTCGAACAACTTAATCATCAAATATATACAAATGAAACAAAAATTGTTAAAATGGAAATGAGAAATTGAGCTTAATTACAGCGACGGTAAGGCCACGGAAAACGTCGAGAGAAAGGAGGCGTTGAGTTGGTGGTGGCGATGCGTTGGATGATGAGGTTGAAGGCGTGTTGGTGATCTCTTCTTCTTCTTCATTGGAAAGAGAACGGGGATTGTGTAGAAGGGGTTCTCGTTGTCGTTCATCTAATTCTGTTGTCGTAACTGCGATCATACTAGGCATTAATTCTTCCCTTTCTGCTGTTGCTTTTTGTTTTTGTGTGTTCGATCGGTTCCAGTCGAATCACTTGAAGAGCTCCTGCTTGTTGACCGCTGGAATTTAACAATCCGACTTGATACTTGATAGTGTTATAAAATGACCTGACACGTGTCGCATCCCGAGAGGGACAAGTCTCAGACAGCAGGAACCGCTTCCCCAAAATAACCATGCCAACTTCACTTATTTGTTTTTATATTTTAAAAATAATTTTATTTTTATATTTTAAATTAATAATTAATAATTTTTATACTTTAAATTTATTTTAATATGTTAATATAAAAAATATAAAAATATCAATTTAATACATTTCTAAATAAAATATATTTTAAAAAATAATTATAACCACATTTCTAAATAAACAAAATAAATATCTCAAAATTATATAAGCTAACTAGGAAATGCTTTATGATCTATCATTTTTTTTTATAAAAACAAATATGCCAGCATTTTCAATTTTTTTTTAATAGTAAAAAAAAATAGATGTTCATTTAAAATTTAATATATATATATATATATATATATATATATGTGTGTGTGTGTGTGTGTGTTTAATAAAATAGATACAGAATTATAGGTGTTAGTAAACATTAAAAAAAAAAAATTCAAAACCAAGTTGAAAAGTTAAAAAATAAATGTTGATTAAAATATTTAATTTTATATCATGAAATACCCAAGTTTTTTATATAAAAACTATTTTTTAAAAATAAGAAGAACAATATTTTAAATTTTTATAATTTCTTATATATTTTTTATCACTACAAAAAATTATATTTTTGTTCCATGCCATTTATTCAATAAAAATAAAAAATCATCATAGAACATACATCAAAAAAATAAATAATTTAAAATAAAAATTATATATATATATACATGGTTGAGTCATTGAATCATAAATATAATTTATGTCTGATTATAATCAAATATGATGAAAAATAACTCAATCCTATATTATTAAATTTTAATTGGATTTATTATTAGGTTTATTTTATATTATTTAAAAAAATTATTTAGGTTATAAACATAATTATTGGTTGTTTTGAAATTTTAATATTTATAAGTGATTTTTTACTTTGTACTTACTTTTGAATAATTTGATAAACGTCGCATCTTCCCTCTTCCAAGTTGCTCTCTCTCTCTCTCTATTTTGTCCCCTCTTCCTCGGCTCATTTTCTTCCTCTCATCATAGCTTCTTCTTTCACTCTTTACTTCTTTCAATTTTCACTTTGTTTCGCATCATTAACTCTCTAATTAAACCTCTCAATCTTATAAACATGCTCAATTTTTTGCCGTAACATCTATGTTTTTTCAGACAATTAATCTTTTTAGAATTATAAATGCAAGTTGTAATTAGAAAAATAGTATTCCCATATTTTCACATGAATATATTAAAAAACACAAAAATAATATTCCAATAACATACCGTTTATGTGTTGCCACGAGAAATTCTTTGGTATTATTGAATTCAATTCAGTCTGTCGAGTTAAACTGAGATCTCTATACAACTTTTTATTTACCTCAAGTTTTAAATTAAATCATATAAAAATTAATTTGATAAATCTAAACATGACTTAATCAATTTGGTCAGAATTTGATTTACTTTAAAAGGTTTTCAAGTTGTCATTGTTTTATTTTAAAAAATATTAAAACGATAATATTTTCATCGCGATGATTTTTCAAGACACCATCATATTAGGTGTTTAAAAAAATATTAAGAAGACTAATTTTTATTAATCCACCATTATTACAACCCAGTTCATGAATCTAGTTAAGTTTATTAATTTTTTTATAAATTATTTTTTATTTAATTATATGATAATAAAAAAACATGTGCACTGAAATCACCTAAATAAATTTTTTTAAAACGATAATAATGTGGTGCGCAAAAATAGCATTCGCTAATATTTTTTAAAAATATGACAATATTATTGGAAACAAAGTAAGAATTAAATGTATTTAATAAATTAACACCTCAAATATATTTATGATTAACTTATCTTAATGAATTTATATTAAAATCGATGGAAAAATATAAAAACCAATACATAAAGACCAAAAAAAAGAGAATAAATGTTTGGGCTTGGTTATATCATCATGCATGGCCCATTACAATTTTTTTCTTTTTTCTCCTTAAAATGGGTGGACGAAATATTATTTATTTATTTATTAATAAAAAACAAATGACTCGTTGTTTGGAGTAGTAGATGATGCATCCACCAGTTATATTCCAATTATAGCTGAAATATCATCAACTCTTCGTATCTAAAAAAACATGTTTTCAACTTCTTCTATTTTCATATAAAAACACTCAGGAAACTCACAAAATTTTTAATAAAACCCATATCTAACCTAAAATATAATATTTAATTAGTCAAAAAACTTAAAATCCATTTCAATTAAAAAAAAACCCTAAATCTCGACCTATTTTTCTGTTAAAATAAGGGATTAAAAACACTTAAATAAAATTTTTTTTGTCAAATAAAATTTATTAATACCAAAATTAATTTTTTTGCAAGCAACAAGATTAAATTTTATTTTATAAAATCAAGCACTAATCTAAGATTAAAATAATTTTTCATAAAAGTAATCATATAAAAAATAAATCGATATAAATCATTTAGCTATAAATCCCAATTAACATAATGTTAAAGGCGGGGATTAAAAAAAAAAGACAAGCAAAAAAATTCTTCAAAGACAGAAAAAAGAAGAAGAAGGAAAACATTACTGAAATTCACAATTTTCTCTCTCCCGATGCACAATACAGAGCACCATATAACCAACACAATTTTCTTAAATATTCAGATATCTTGGAGTAGAAATTTGACTCTCAATCAGTCTGTTCCAAATATATATCCCCAAATTGAATTGAATGAATGAAATTTGAATTTCAACATTGATTTCTTATTCGGACTAATTATATTTTTGTATTAAATGAAAAAAGTTGGCAATTAATCATCGGATCAATTAGTCTTACCGGTGGATCCTCTATTGGATCATCTCACATTCCCATAAATTAACACGGGCAACCTAATTTGCTTTCCTGGGAATATGGCAAAAAAAGGTCCATATTGTAGTCCTCTCTTCTTTGTTCCTCAACTTGATTTTTGTTTCGATTTACTAATAAATTGCAGCCGGAAGGCTTCCAAGGCAAAATAATGTTTCATGGACTGACTACCTTCTCAAAACCTTCAATTCCTCAATTCGTTTAGGCAGCATCATTTCACAGGGCCGCGGGCCGATCTGCGGAAAACATGATGAATATGGTTGGATTCGACCCGAGGACAATTACAATTCCTATCTAACCTGGTTAAATAATGACAACAAGCTTACTTGGAGGTCCGAATCGGGAGGGTATTTAGCTGGGACACCAAGCTTGCTGGTGCCCAGTTGCTTCCGAGTCGAATGAGAATTTTCTTGGACTTCGGTTATCCACATGAAGAGATGCTGAGCACATTTCAAAGGCACGTAGAAAACATAACGTGCTCATACTCACCAGTTTTGCAAACCTTCAATAGAACAAAGGGAAGGTTGATTAAATTAAACCGTGGAAGACCACGGCCTCAATATGTGGTGAAAGCGGCTTTCATGGCTACGAAATACTAGTCTCTCGAAGTTAAAATGCCGCCAGGACGGCATTGCAGATTTAAATTTTACTCAAATGAAGTTTTGTGAAATCTTGCAAGGAGTCAGATTGATTACATCCTAAGCAAAACCCCTTATAGCATGAGCTATCTTGTAGGCTTTGTGATCATCTCTCATAGAGGCTCTTCAATTCCAAAAAACACGGGTCAGGTATGGATGCATAGGACGGAAATGAAGGGCCAGTCCTGATTCCTAAACCAAATCCAAATAGCCATGGTTGCTGTCCCCTGATAACTGGAATGGTTTCCAGGATATCCGCTCCAATAATTATATGGAGCCAGCCATTGCAGGAAATGCAGGTTTGGCAGCTGCACTAGTGGCTTTGTCTGGTGGAAGCACTTCCAAGCTTGACAGGAACACCATATTCTATGCAACCCCTCCATCGTAAACATATGATATGGACCCCCAACACCAGCACCTTGGACACAATGATCAGATTGCTTCTGAACACATCTCTCAAGCACCGAAAAAAAATAGCTATGATCAGATGAATTTTTTTCAATTGTTTAATAAGATGACAGATAGTGAGCCTTCACCATTTGAAAGAATACCTCCCCATACCAACACTTTCATAGGGCTTTGATTAGTTAAAATATAAAATAAGCCAGATCGTCATTCACACTAGGTCCACAAAAGTTACATTGCTCCCGGTGACTTTAGATCCATGGAACATCATGCATTCTTCCCACCAATGACACCCCCCATAGCATCTGAAAGCTCAGCAAGTTTTTGTGCTGCAGCAGCCAATGTAGCACTGCTTTTACAAAAAGCAAACCTGATGTATCTCTCCTGGTAACTGCAACCTACCTGAGATAATTTCTCTGTAGACAAAGTTGTGTGAAAAAATCCACAACCTGGTACTGCCACCACTCCTGCTCGTTTTATTAATTCCTTGACATATTCTACCTGAAACAATCCAAATGGATAATTAACACTTCATAGGATAACAGATGGGAGAACACCACTTACAAATATTTGCTCATGTGAGGCCTACAAGTAATGAACACTCACAAAGAAATTACTAAAAAGAAAGAGGGAGTGAAGAGTGCACTTACATCAGAAAGCAAGTAATTTTCAGGAAGTTCTGCAAATAAAAAGAATGCACCCGGAGGCACTCACAAAGAAACTACTAAAAAGAAAGAGAGAGTGAAGAGTGCACTTACATCAGAAAGCAAGTAATTTTCAGGAAGTTCTGCAAATAAAAAGAATGCACCCCGAGGCTTAAACTTAATCTGAAAACCAATTCCTGCAATCAAGTGAACAATGTAGTCTCTTTTTGATTCATATTCCTGTGCGTCAAAAGATATGTCTTGTCAGCATCAATTACAATAAATAGAAAAATTAATATGCTAACATTCTTGTACTGAATACTTAGCGGTTGCAGGAACCACTTTCATGAAAGCAGGTGTAACAGAAGCTTTTAAGGGACCACTCTTCGGATTTATTCAAACAGATATTGTGGCACTCATTTCAACAAAACCAAG